TCCATCCATTCCTTTTTATCTCTCTATTATTTCATATCTTCTATTATCTCTCTATCCTTTCATCGCTTTCAATATCTGTCTACCCTGTCCTATTCGATTATCTCTCTATTCTTTCGTCTTCGATTATCTCTCTACCCTTTCATCTCTTTCATTATCTCTTTACTCTTTCCTCTTCCTATATCTCTCTTCTTTCCTCTTTGATTATCTCTCTATCCTTTCATCTCTTTTATTATATCTCTATCCTTTCATCTCTTTTATTATCTCTCTACCCTATCCTCTTCCATTATTCTCTACCCTTTCATCTCTTCCTTTATCTCTCTATCCTTTCATCTCTTTCATTATCTCTCTACCTTTTCCTATTCGATTATCACTCTATTCTTTCCTCTTCTATTATCTCTCTACCCTTTCATCTCTTCCATTATCTCTCTATCATTTCATCTCTTTATCTTTCTACCCTTTCCTATTCGATTATCTCTCTACTCTTTCATCTCTTCCATTATCTCTCTATCCTTTCATCTCTTTCATTATCTCTCTACCCTTTCATATACGATTATCTCTCTCCATTTTCCTCTTCGATTATTTCTCTACCACTTCATCTCTTCAATTATCTCTCTATCCTTTCCTCTCTTCGATAATCTCCCTCCATTATTTCTTTACTCTTTCCTCTTCGACTATCTCTCTACCCTTTCCTCTTCGACTATCTCTCTACCCTTTCCTCTTCCATTATCTCTCTACTCTTTCATCTCTTCGATAATCTCTCTACCCTTTCATCTCTTTTGTCTCTCTATTCTTTCCTCTTCCATTATCTCTCTACCCTTTCCTCTTCCATTATCTCTCTACCCTTTCCTCTTCCATTATCTCTCTACCCTTTCCTCTTCCATTATCTCTCTACCCTTTCCTCTTCCATTATCTCTATTATCTCTCTATCTTTCATCTCATCCATTATCTCTCTACCCTTTCATCTCTTTCATTATCTCTTTACTCTTTCCTATTACTATATCTCTCTTCTTTCCTCTTTGATAATCTCTCTATCATTTCATCTCTTCCATTATCTCTCTACCCTTTCCTCTTCCTATATCTCTCTATCCTATCATCTTCCATTATCTCTCTATCCTATCATCTTCCATTATCTCTCTATCCGTTCCTCACACACATATAGTCTCTACCATTTGCTTTCCTCTCTTTACCCTATATTGTCGACCATTGTCCCTCTACTCCTTCCTCCTCCTCATGTGTTTGTGGTCCATCCCTCTAACGTGTTATATTTTGTCCACGTAGCACTCACGACACTTCTTCCATTAACACCATGTTCTATTATCTTGACTTGATTAGAGATCAGTCTTTATCTGTCCCCAGCAACAGCCGTTAAAGCAATCGACAGAAATCAAGCAGTGATTAGAAAGACTGTTTAAAATCAATTTTCATTCACACTACAAGCGTTCTATAAATGATCTTAGGATAAAGGATCTTAGGATAAATGATCTTAGGATAAATGATCTTAGGATAAATGATCTTAGTATAAATGATCTTAGGATAAAGGATCTTAGGATAAATAATCTAAGGTAAGAGATCTCAAGACAAATGACCTCACGTGAACTGATCTCAGGACAAATGATCTCAGGGCAAAAGATCTCAGAACAAATGATCTCAGAACAAATAATCTCAGAACAAATGATCTCAGAACAAATGATCTCAGAACAAATGATCTCAGGAATAATGACCTCATGTGAAATGATCTCGGGACAATTTATTTCAGAAATAAAAATAAAAAATAAATCTTTACAAAATGCATCAAAACTGTGCGTCTCACGCGATCTAGAGATTAAGGCTACTAAAACTAAGGAAGTGAAATAAAAAAAAAAACTCTTAATTAAATTATTTTTGGCAATAGGTCTACTAAGATAATGAACCCCACAATCATAATCATCTTTTCTCTTTTGTGCTTAAGACATATGGGGCAGACTAAGTAGAGTTCATCTGTTTCAGAGACCTCGGCTTATGAAGGGATAGTGTGGTCAGCTCTATGCCCAGTCGCCTTTTCTTATCATCAGAGCTGGAGGACTTAGGGCGTTCTGCTGATTGTAAGCCGGATTTGAACTCGAGAGTTTCGGCTTAGCAGTCTAGCTCTCTATCGCTATGCCACGCCGTCTCATGAATCCCACAGTATACTCCTATTTAGGCAGCCCAGTTTAGCTCTACATACCGAATGTAGATGAGGAAAATTTGTCAGTGTCGGAAAACGCGTGCAACAATTACATACGATTCAAACTAATACGTGGAGTTTTGTATGGATTTTTCATCACTATGGTAGATTAAACGCCCGCTTAAGCCGATTATACTGATAGGGTCGAGTGTAGACGGGAGGGTGGGTGTTAATAATGGATAAATTGTGGCTGTTGGTATTGGTTAGGTGGTGATTAAATAGTGGTTGTTGGTATTGGTTAGGTAGTGATTAAATAGTGGTTGTTGGAAGTGGTTAAGTATTGGTTAGATGGTGGTT